CAGTGGCCATCTAGCTGAGAAGTAACAAAGCCCACCTGGAAGAAGCACACGAGCCTGTGTGATCATGCTGTGTCGATGTGATCAGATATCAGGCATCAAAGACCCAGACCAAAAAAATCATATCATTGTGAATGAGGGGGAGTATGGAGTGGAGACCCAAAGCCCATCTGTAGACAACTGGACATCCCCCTACAGAAGGGTCATAGGAAGAGACGAGCCCGTCAGTGTGCAGTATAGCACCATTGAAACATACAACTTTCCTCTAGTTCTTTAATACTTCCTCCCTCCACTATTAGGACCCCAATTCTATCTTACAAGTCCAGCCAGGCCAGAGCATGTACACAGGTACAGATAAGAGCCGGAAACACAGGGAATACAGGACAGCTAAACCTTCAGCTAGGTACTCATCAACATGTTGAATAAGAGTGGTGATAGATGGCTCCCTTGTCTAGTTCTCATTCTCAGGGGAAATATGTTTAGTCTTTCCAGATTGGGTACTGTTGGGTACTGGTTTTTCACATATATATAGTCTTTATTATGTTAAATAATTTCCTTCTATTGTTATTTTTGAGTGTTTTCATAAAATATAAATGTTGGATGTTGTCAAATGCTTTTTCTGCATCTATACATATGGTTGTGTCTTTCTTATTTTTAGTCCTCTTTCTGTGGACTGTTTTTTTCATGTTGAATCATCCTTGCATTCTTGGTATTAATCTCCGTTAAAATCAAGATTTTTAAAAAGATATTACTGGATTCTATTGGCCAAATGGTTGTTGAGGGTTTTTGTGTCTATGATCATTAGATCTGTCCTTTCCTCTTTTTGTGGTGTATTTCCCTGGTATTGGTATCCGAGTTATGCATGCTTCACAGAATGAGTTTGGGAGTTTGCAGTCCCTTCTATATTCTGCTAGAATCTATAGTCTGTCAGAATTAATGACAGCTCTTCGCTGAGCACTTGATGGAATTCCCCGGTGTAGTCAGGTAGTCCTGGGGTTTTCTTGCCAAAATTTCTTCACGACTTTCTCTATTTCTTCTTTTGTTATAATTCTGTTGAGGGTTTTTACATGAATGTGCATTCTTTAGGTAGATGGTCTATTTGTAGATGTAAGTCCATTTCTTCTGGCTCACGAGGCTTGTTGGAGGACAGTCCTTTGTAGTTGTGCGGACTCTTTTTCATTGGGATCTGCTGTGATGGTGCCCTTTTCATCGCAATTTTAGATATCTGCACCTTCTCTTTCTTTTCTTTGTTATGTTTGCCAACGGTTTGTCAATCTTTTCAAAGAAACAACTTCTTGTCTTATAGATTATTTCCATTGATTTTCTGTTTTCCAGTTTGTTTATTTCCAGTCTAATCATTATGATTTCATTTCTTTTGTGGTTAGAAGGTTCTGTTGTTGCCCTTGTTCTAGTTGTTGAAGACGTTATACTAAAGTACTGGTTTTTAAAATTTCTCCTCCTTTTTTTTTTTCTTCCCATGTGTGCATTGATCGCTAGAAACTGCCCTCAGATAACTGCTTTTCCTGTCTCCAACATGTTTTGGTATGGTCTCATATCTTTTTGGTTTGTTTCGAGAAATCTCTTCTCTTATTTTATCTACTATCCAGTTGTATTTAAATAGATATCTGTTCAGTCTCCATTTGTTTTTATTTATATGTTTGTTCTGACTATTGTTGATTTCTAGTTTTACACAATTGTGATCTGAGAAAATATATTCTAAGATTTTAATCTTTTCGAATGTACTAATCTTGCCTTAACATGGGGTCTATTATAGAGTACATATTCTGTGTGCTACAGAATGTACACTGTTCTGCTGCCGGGTGGAGTACTCTTTATACGGACGGGAGGTCAAACTGCTTGATTCTGTTGTTAGCTCTTCTGTTTCTTTATTGAGTCTCTTTCCTGATCGTCTGTCTTCCCTTGGCCCTAGTGTACTGAAGTCTCCTAATATTACTGTTAAGCTGTTATTTCTCTCTTCAACTCTGTGAGGAGTTGATTGATATATTCCAAGAGTCTTTAATTTGGGGCATATATACTTATTTTGATTTTGTATTTTTGTTCTATTATTCCTTTAATGATTATGTAGCGTCCATTCTTGTTTCTCACGTGTTATTTGCCTGTGAGTATACTTTATCAGATGTTAATACAGCCAATTCTCCTCTTAATAGTTGCCTTTAGTTTGGTAAATTTTTCTTCATCTTTTGGTTATTAGTCTATGTTTGTATTTAAGTTGAAGGGGCTTCTCTTGTAGACAACATAGTTTTGTCGCTTTTAGGTCCTGTCAAGCCAGTTGTAACTCATAGCGACCCTATGATTGTACAAAAGAATGAAACACGGCCAGGTCTTGTGGGATCTTAAATCAGAGCCCATCGATGCAGATACTGTGTCAATCCATCTTGTCAGAGATCTTCCTCTTTTCCACTTCCCCACCATCTTACCAAGCATGATGTTCTCAGGGGACTTGTCTCTCCTGCCAGCATATCTATTGTACAGGAGATGAGTCTCACCAACCCTGCTTCCAAAGACCTTTCTGATTGTCCTTCTTCCAAGAGAGATTCATTTATTTGTTTGCAGTACATGGTAATTTTAGTATTCTTTGCCAGCCCCATAATTCAAATGCATCAATTCTTCTCTAGTCTTCCTTATTTACTTTCTAGTTTTCATATTTATTTGAGGCCATTGAAAATGCCATGCCTCCGGTTAGATATACTTTAGTTCTCCAAGTGCAATCTTTTGTTTTTAACACTTTACAGAGGCATTTTGCAGCAAATTTGTCCAATGCAGTGTTTGATTTCTTGTTTGATGCTTCTATCAGTATTAGAGCCAAGTAACATGAAATCCCGAAAACCTCAATCTTTCTGACATTTGTCATGATGTTTTTGATTAGTCCTGTAAGAAGATATTTGTTTCTTTATTTTAAGATGTAGTAATATGCGTCTTTGATCTTCATCAGTAAGAGCTTCAAGTCTTCTCTTTCAGCAAACAATGTTGTATCATCTGCATATTGCTAGTTGTCAATAAGCCTTCCTCCAATCCTGATGCTCTTCTGAATATTGTCCATCTTCTAAGATTATTTCCTCAGCAGGCAGATTAAATATAATGAAAGGCTATGACCCTGAGTCCTATTTTTCTCATTTTAAACCACTCATTATTTTCTGACTCTCTTTGAATGACTATTTCTTACCCTATACAGAGATTCCACATGAGTGCAGGCAAGTGTTCTGGAATTCAATTTTTTTACAAGGTTTTCCTTAATTTATTTTAATTCACACAATTGAATAATTTTGCTTGATCAACAAAACACAATTAAACAAAGTTCTGATATTCTCTCCTTCCAATAGAGATCCATCTGGTGTTAGCCATGGTATTCCTTGTTCTGAATCTGGTTTGCATACTTGGTAGCTCTCTGTCCATATATTGCTGCAACAATGCTTGAATTCTCATGAGCAAAATTGTACTTGCACCTGATATTTACGGTGTAGCTCCTTGGGCTACTGACTGCAAGGTCAGCTGTTTAAAACCATCAGCTTCCCTGAGGAATAAACATGGGACTTTCTACTCTCATAAAGAGATATCGTCATAGAGACTCACAGGGGCAGATTTACCAAGTGCTACTGGGTCACTCCCAGCCAGCATTGACTCAGCAGCAGTGAGTTTGGTTTGGGTGATACTAATTATATTGGCTGATAATTCCTGAATTATGTGGATAACCATTCTTTGGAATGGGCACATAGAATGTTTTATCCAGTACTTTCTGATTGAGAAATGCTGAGCATATTCTTCTCTTTTGGTTCTTTGAATCAAAACAAAATAAAAACACTGTCATGGAATCAATCCTTACCCATGACAAATTATATAAAGTTTCCAAGATTTTTATTATCTTTATTATCATCAACACCTTATCTCTCTCCCACAGCAGGTTTGGTAGGCCTAATGCTTAACTCACAGAGCCACCAGGGCTCCTTAGCTGAGAACCACCATCCAAAGTATACTCATTTATCACACAGAATAAATGACTGCCATTTACTATAGATGGTTAGAGAAGACAAAAAAGTTATTTTACATGCAAACAAAGAGCTATATTTTAAATTGTAGCAAATACTAACAATTACCTAGGCATTTATCGCTTGTTTATTGCTCCTCTGCTGAATGTATAGGCAATTAGGGAAGAAACATTTTATAACACAGGGTGTAAAACTATATAAAATGTAAAATTCTCTATTAGGCATTATTATGGTTGCCTAAATTAATAAATGAATATCACATTCTAAGTTTCAGATCAGTGAAAAAAATTAAATACAGACTGAGAATATAATATTAGCCTGGATATGTTCTAGTGAACTGAGGGAAAAAATAAAGAAAAATAATTGTGTCTTCTAGTTCCAGGAGTTTTTTTTCAGTTTTAGCCACCAATTATAAAACAGAACACACCAATGAAGGCCTGAACTTCCCAAGTGAAATAATGAGGGATATATTGTTAGGAATACGAGTTAATTAAACTAAGCAATTCAATGCTTATCCTTTTGAATCAGCAGCACCTCATGTAAAAGATACAGAAATTTATTTTTATCCAAAATATTTCTTAAGCAGAAGCTAAGCATTAAGAACATGTAAAGATCTTTCACATGTACTCTCTTTCTCTCTAGCATTGCCCAATAGTGTAGCCATTAAACTCATGTGAGATTTTAGTTGAAATTAAAGTTAAATAAAATTAAAAATTCATTTCTCAGTCACACTTGATACATTTCAAGTGTTCAATGGTGCAAGGTTACACTACAGAGAAAATGTCTATTTCCACAGAAAGTTTTATTGTTCTCAAAAATTGCAATAATGTTCCTATTTTATAGGAGGAGGCACTGAATTTTAAAGTTAATGAATAATGCTTGGGGTATTTTGTTTTTGTTTTTTGATAGTGTATTTCATGCTACTGAATACACTCTATTCTATTGTGAAATCAATGGCTTACTTTCTTTTTCTGTCTGGTTGTAAAACAAATGCCTTACTTTCTTCTGTTGGCAAGCATCCCTGCATTTCGTACAGAGATCTTCGCTCCATGCTTCACTGTGCTCCAATTCAAAGAACAGCGGGCACTCTGTGCGGGTCTTCTGACAGGATGGCCACAAATCTTAGTTATCTTTTAAATGGAAAACATAAAAAACACTGTTAGAAGTCATGTTCCAGTTTTTCTGGGAATGTAATGATTGCTCAAGGCAAAAGCAATGACAATATTTTCCTTTGAATACTTTCAATGCTTATCAATCATTCAATTGGAAAAAAATCAAATTATCTATAAAACATGGCTAACATGATGCATTCATACTACGCTTGTGTCTATATTTTGTATATATCTGTGAAACATACATAAATAAAATACTTATGCTCAAAATGAAACAGAAATGCATTAATAAATTGGCCTGCTTATAAATATAAAACTCCTTAGGCAAAGTAGATTTTTTTGTGGTTTATATTTATGCATTTATTTATATTTCTAATTTGTTGCTAAATACAGACTCATTTATTATGGAATTTGAAGTCATTTTGTAAAAGTGATATAGGGACAAAAGTAAATATATTTGTAGTTATTTATCTTAGAAATAGTAAGTATTATGCATAATATAGCTCGACTTCTCTGTCAGTCTTCCATAGGGTGGAGGCTTCTGTATTGTGATGCTGGAAGCTATGTCCCTGGTATTCCCAATGCCACCAGGGTCACCCAAAGGGAACCATTTTCAGTAGAGCTTGCAGACTAAGAACAGACAAGGAAGAAGGGCTTGGCTTACCGCTCTGGAGGAAGGAGTCTCGGGAAGCCTTATACATAGCTTCAGAACACTGTCAGGTACTGAAGGCCTAATGAATGGAAGCAGAGCCTTGTTGGGGATAGTGCCTGACGAGGGGCCCCTCAGGTTGGAAAGAACTCAACACGTGACTGAGGAGGAGCTGACTTCTTGGAGAGGAGTCCACCATGGTGATGGGAGTTGAGTAAAGCCTGTGGGAGTGGAGACTTGGGGAAATTTTTTGCTTATGAGGAATGATTCAAGGTAAAGAGAACATGCTTCAAAAATCAGCTAAGGATTGGATCTTGGAATGTGCAAATATATGTCAAAGTATGAATCTAGGGCAATCAGAAGTTGTAAAAAACAAAATGGAACATATAAAGATCTATATCCAAGCATTAGTGAGCTGAAAAAGACTGGTATTGGCCATTCTGAATCAGAAAATCACATTATATGCTACGCTGGGAATAGCACAATAAAGAGGAATGATGTGGCACTCATTGTCAAAAGGGACATTATAAAATCAATAATAAAATACCTGTGATAAGATTACATATATCCACCTTCAAGGAAATCCAATTAATACAACTATTATTCAAATGTATGCACCAACTCCCAAAGCTAGTAACTGAAGAATTCAACCAAGGTCTTCAGTCTAAAACTGATCAAACATGAAATCAAGATGCATTGTTAATTACTGGTAATTAGAATGCAAAAGTTGGAAACAAATAAGAAGGAAGACCAGCTGGAAAATATGGTCTTGGAGATAGAAACAAACCTGGAGATCACAGGATAAAATCTTGCAAGACCAATGACTTAATCATAGAAAATACTTTTCTTAAACAACACAAAAAGTGACTATACATCTGGAGTTCTCCAGGTGGAATACATAGAAACCAGACTGACTGCATCTGTGGGCAGAGATGACACTGGAGAAGCTCCACACACTAGCTAAAACCAGACCAGTGGCTGACTATGGAACAGACTATAAACTGCTCTTATGTAAGTTCAGGATAAAGCTGAAGAAAATAAAAACAGGTCCACTAGAGTCAAAATATGACCTTGAATCTACCCTACAGATTTGATGCACTGAACACTAATGACAGAGAACTGATCAATTATGGGATGACATCCAGAATATCATACATGAAGAAAGCAAAAGGTCATTAAAAAAAAAAGGTTATTTAAAACATCATTAAATAAGAAAGAGAAGATCAAAGTATATGTAGGAAGAGAGTCTGAAATGTGCTCTTAATAACAGAGTAGCTAAAACAATTGGAAGAAGTGATGAAGTCAAAGAGCTGAATAGAAAATTTCATGAATAGAAAATTTCACTACCATGCCCCCAATTCTGTCTTACAAATCTGGCTAGACCAGAACATGTATCCTGGTACAGATAAGAGCTTGCAATACAGGGAATCCAGAACAGATAAATCCTCTGGACCATAGGGGAGCAGCCATACTAGGAGGATAAAGGTTGGGGGGGAAAGAGTAAGGGGGAACTGACCACAATGATTGACATATGGCTCCCATCCCAGGGAGACAGACAGCAGAAAAATGGGTGAAATGAGACAGCAGTTGGTGTAAGACAAGGGCAAAAAAAAAAGAAGAAGTTATAAAATATCAAGGGTGCGTGGAGAGGAAGGAAGGGGGAGGGAGGGGAAAAATGAGGAGTTGATGCCAAGGCCACAAGTAGAAAAAAATGTTTTGAAAAAGATGGTGACAATGAATATACAGATGTGTTTGAAAAAATGGATATATGTATGGATTGTGATAAAAGCTGTAAGAGTCCCTAATAAAAGAAAAGAAAACGGGAGAAATACACAGAGTCACTGTACCGAAAGGAACTGCTCAATATCCAAACATTTCAGGAGATAGCATATGATTAAAAGTTGATAGAAGTGAAGGAAAGAAATCTAAGTTGCATTCATGGTATTGATAAGAAACAAGGCCCCAAGAATTGACAAAATACCAATTGAGTTGTTTTAACAAATGGATTCACTCTTCTCTTGAATATCTTCTGGGCTATCTAATTTTGAATTGTGTGGTCCACCAAATAAATATTAAGATATATTAAACAATGAGAAACCCTAATGAGATTATAACTGTAATATCTATATAAAATATATGTGTGGATATATATACAATTTTAAATTAAATATCTCCAAGAGAAAAAGAAAGAAAATTTCAAAGGATATTTCAAAGGTTCAAGAAGACAAAGCCAAATATAAGGAATTGTGCAAATACTTAGAGTTAGAAAACCAAAAGGAAATAATATGCTCAGTGTATCTTAAATTATAAGAAATCAAGAGAAAATTCTAACCTTGAGTTGCAATCTTGAAAATTTACAAAGATAAAATACTGAATGAGGCAGAAAGCATCAAAAGAAGATAGAAAGAATACACAATCACTGTAATTAAAAAAACTAGTTGACATTCCACCATTTCAGGAGGCAGCATATGAGCAAGAACCAATGGTGCTGAAGGAAGAAGTTCAAACTGCACTGAAAGAATTGGGCAAACAAGGCTCTGGGAATTGATGGAATACCAATTGAAAAGTTTCCATAAGCTGATGAAGCACTGGAAGCATTCACTTGACTATGCAAGGAAGTTTGGAAAATAGCTACTTGTTCAACAGACTGGAAGAGATCCATATTTGTATCCATTCCAAAGAAAGGTGCCCTAACAGAATGTTCAAATTATGGAGCGATACAATTGATATGGCATGCAAGCAAGTGTGCCGAGCTCGTTCAACAACGTTTGCGGCAGTACACTGACAGGGAGTTGTCAAAGGTTCAGGCTGCTTTGAGAAGAGGATGTGGAACAGGGACATCATTGCTGAGGTCAGATGGACCCTGGCTGAAAGCAGAGAAGACCAGAAGACAGGTGTACTTGTATTTTGTTGATGATACCAAGGCATTGGACTGTGTAGGTCATTACAAACTGAGTAACTTCCAGAAGAGTGGGAAGTTCAGAACACCAAGATCAGGTACCCTGACCTCCGTGGTTTTGTTTTCCATCCTTTAAAAAACCCTTTCCTTCCTTTTTCCAGCTACTTCTTTTTCTTCTTTCTTTTTAATTTCCTCTTATTTTTCTTTATGAATCTCTTTTCTTTGCTCCTACTCCCTAGTTTGTTTGGGTTTTTTAAAAATAATTTTATTAGGGGCGCATACAACTCATCACAATCCATTGTGTCAAGCACATTTGTACATTTGCTGCCATCATCATTCTCAAAACTTTTGCTTTCTACTTGAGCCCTTGGTATCAGCTCCTCATTTTCCCCCCTCCTTCTTCCACCCTCTCTCCCTCATGAACCCTTGATAATTTATAAATTATTATTTTGTCATGTCTTACACCATCCGACATCTCCCTTCACCCACTTTTTTGTTGTCTGTCACCCAGGAAGTGGATTCTATGTAGATCCTTGTAAACAGTTCCCACTTTCTACCACACCCTCCTTCCACCCTCTCAGTATCGCCACTCTCACCACTGGTCCTGAAGGGTTCATCTGTCCTGGATTCCCTGTGTTTCCATTTCCTACCTGGGGCAGTGTACATCCTCTGGTCTAGCCGGATTTTTAAGGTAGAATTGGGATCATGATAGTAGGGGCAATGGGGGACATTTAAGAACTAGAGAAATGTTGTATGTTTCATCATTGCTACACTGCACCCTGACTGGCTCGTCTCCTCCCCACGACCCTTCTGTAAGGGGATGTCCAGTTGCCTACAAATGGGTCTTGGGTCCCCACTCTGCACTGCCCCTCATTCTCAATTATATGTTTTTGTGTTCTTTAATGCCTGACACCTGATCCTATAAACACCGTGTGATCACACATGCTGGTGTCCTTCTTCCATGTGGGCTTTGTTGCTTCTGAGCTACATGTGCCTTTGTTTACCTTCAAGCATTTAAGACCCCAGATGCTATATCTTTTGATAGCCAGACACCATCAGCTTTCTTCAACACATTTGATTATGCACCTGCTTTGTCTTCAGCGATCCTTTGGGAATGTGAGCATTCTGGAATACCAGTTTGAAAAACAAAGCGTTCTTGCATTCAGGGAGTACTTGAGTGGAGGCCTAATGTCCATCTGCTACCATAATACTAAACTTATAAATATATGCACATAGATCTATTTTCCCATCCTCAAATATAAATATATTTACATATGTACATGCCTGTAATTAGACCTCTAAAAATGCCCTTTGCCTCCTAGTTCTTTCCTCTATTTCCATTTACTTTCCTCTTGTCCCACTATCATGCTCAGCTTTCATTTGGGTTTCAGTCATTCCTCTAGGTTACATTGCCCTTGATCAAGCCCTTCCAGGCCTCTTGCACGCTTGTCGCCACTGATTTTGGATCAC